TTAGTGTTCTGAGTGGTTTTATTATGAAAGGATGTATGATTTTTATCAGTTTTTTTTCTGTATCAAATTGGCATCACCATTTTTTCTTTAATGTGGAGTATTTTATACACACACACACACACATATAGTTTTAAATATGGAACACTTCATAAATTTGTGTGTTATCCTTGCACAGGGGCCACTCTAATCCTCTCTGAACCATTCCAACTCCAGTGTATGTGCTGCTGAAGCAAGCACATTTATTGATTGATTTTTGTATGTTGAACCATCTTTGCATTCTTGGGGTAAACCCCACTTGGTCATGGTATATAATGCTTATAATATGCTGATAGATTTGGTTTGCTAGTATTTTCTTAAGGGATATTGATCTGTAATTTTTTTTCTTGTAATGTTTTCATCTGTCTTTGATATCACCATAATGTTGACCTTATAGAATAAGTTAGGAAGTTTTCTTCCCTTTTCTATTTTTGGAAGAATTTGGGAAGTATTTGTGTTAATTCTTTAAATATATGGTAGGATTCACCAGTGACACCATCTGGTCCTGAAATTTCTCTGTTGGGTGGTCTTATTGAGTCATTATCCACTTTTTTTTTTTAAAGATTTTATTTATTTATTTGAGAGAGAGAGAATGAGAGAGAACACATGAGAGGGGGAAGGGTCAGAGAGAGAAGCAGACTCCCTGCCGAGCAGGGAGCCCGATGCGGGACTCGATCCAGGGACTCCAGGATCATGACCTGAGCCGAAGGCAGTCACTTAACCAACTGAGCCACCCAGGCGCCCTAGTCATTATCCACTTCTATAGGTCTGTTCATAATTTCTATTTCTTTTTGGGTCAATATTGATAATTTATGTTTTTCTATGAATCTGTCAATTTCATCTAGATTATTTACTTTATTGGTATATAAATTCTTTTTTTAATAAGATTTTATTTGTCAGGGAGAAAGAGAGAGGGTATCCACATTCATTTTTTATTTTAGTTATTCATGTCTTATTTTCTGTTCCCTTTTCTGTCTGGCTTAAAATTTTGTACTTTTAAAAAATCTTCAAAGAACCAACTTTTAGTTTCATTGATTTTTATTATTTCTATCTCTTTGTTGATATTCTCATTTTTTTCATACATCATTTTCTTGTTTTTCTTTTTTCTTTCCCCCTTTTTCTATTGTTTAGCTCTATGAGCAATTTTTTAAAAAAGATTTTGTTTATTTGAGACAGAGAGAGAGAGAGTGAGCAAGCATGTGGGGGGGGGAGGGGCAAAGGGAGAGGGAGAAGCAGACTCCCTGCTGAACACGGAGCCCAATGCAGGACTTAATCCCAGGACCCTGGGATCATGACCTGAGCCAAAGGCAGATGCTTAACCGACTGAGCCACCCAGGCCCCCTATCTATGAGCATATTTAAGACAGCGTATTTAAAGTCTTTGTCTAGTAAGTCCAATGCCTGGACTTCTTCTCTGATGGTTTCTGTCATTTAGCTTTTCTTTTGACTGGGTTATGCTTTCTTATTTCTTGGTATGCATTTTTGTTGTTGTTGTTGAAAAGTGGATATTTGAATGTTGTAATGTGGTAACTCTGGAAATCAAATTTTATCTGTTCTTGATAGTTGAAGGCCGCAATCATCCAAACTAATTTCCAAATGAGTTTTTGCAAAGAATATATTCCTTTTGTGTGTGTTCACTGAAGTCTCTGGTCCCTTAGCTTTGTTCAACTAATGTTTTGATAGAGATTTCCTTGTGGATTGACTCTGTGCCAGTGCACTTATTCAGCATTTATAACTCTGTTCTGGCCTTTATATGTTCATTGCATTTAGCCTAGAGATCCAGACAAAGGAGATATCTTAGGATCTCCTCAGTTCTTTCCTGATCACATGTCCTTCCCTAGGCATGCTTTTGGTTTTCTAGATTCTCCAGTACACATGCATGCTTTTGAATGCTCTAATTTCCCAAAGAAACTCTCTCCCTAGCTTTTCTTTCCAGGGGTTACTCTGCTTGCATGTCTCAACCATAATCTTTTGTCCCACATGGCTGCATGTTGTTTGTTTGCCTGACAGTATTTTTGGGCACTGTCCACTAATTTTCTGACCTGAGTGATTTTGAAGTCTGGCAAAACAAAAACAAGCACCTTGCATCAGTCCTTCAGGTAACTCAAGACAGCTTAGAACAAACAAATACAATGACTTGTGAATAAGGTCTGCTCTATTTCATCCAAAACCAGATATCAGAGTTTCACACTAGGACCTCCATCTTCAAGACAGAAGATGAGTCAGAAAGGGAGAGGCTCAAGGGCAAGTAAAGTGCCACAAAGCTTCCCTACTGTTTTAAAGTTGTCTTTTTCTTGATTCAGTGTTCCCACTTGGTTGCTGCAAACCTTTGACTATTTTCCAGAGTTCTAACAAAGTTGGTCCTGTCAACTTTTGCTTGTTTTTCAATGTTTCTGTGGAGGGATGGGCATTTGGATTTGGATTTCCATTATTTGGCTGACATGATCCCCTCCTTTCCTTTTGTTGTGAGCCCTAAATACCAAGAGTAACTCTTTTTCTTCTCTTTGATGTAAGGTTGTATTTTTGTCAAGGCTGAACCACAGAGTCTTCATTTTAAAATGAGAGGCTAGCACTATATAATTTCCAAGATTTTATGAATCTCTAGGTGTTCATTCTTCTGTGACTCATCTTGTTAACTGCCTATATTGTTAGTCTGTTTTAGATTTTAAAGCCAGATGTATTAAAACCAGAGCTAAAGAATTAGCTTTAACTTCTTTTCATTTCATTTGTTTTAAAAATTATGATGCAGTAAGTAGGAAGGGAGAAATGAAGGGGGGGAGATCAGTGGGGGAGACAAACCATGAGAGACTGTGTACTCTGAGAAACAAACTGAGGGTTCTAGACGGGAGGGGGTTGGGGGGATGGGTTAACCTGGTGATGGGTATTAAGGAGGGCACGTACTGCATGGAGTACTGGGTGTTATACACAAACAATGAATCATTGGACACTACATCAAAAACTAATGATGTAATGTATGGTGATTAACATAACAAAATAAAAAAAATTATGCAGTAAAGTTGTCTTTTTGTTATATGAATATTGACAAATTGTACAATTGCATAGCAAATACAAAAATCAATATAGAGAACACTTGTATCCCCTCCTCTAAATTTTTTTTACCTGTTTGCTGTCAGTCTTTCCCCGAATTCTAGTTAATAACAAACACTGATCTCATTTTGTTTGTATAATTTTGCCTTTTCACTTATATATCATATTAAATGAAGTCTTAAGATAGGTTGGCTTTTCAGTCTCGGTTCTCTTACTTAGAGTAATGCATCTGATATTCATCCATATTATTATATGTAACACTAGTACATTACATTTCATTGTTGAAAAGTATTGTTTTGTGTGGATATACTAAAGTTTGTTGTCCATTCACTGTTTGGAGGGAATTTGGCTTGTTTTTAGGTTTTCATAATTATAAATAAGGCCACTATGAACATTTACATGCAAGTGTTCATTTCTCTTTGGTAAACACGTAGAATTAGGAATTGTGAGCCTTATGTTAAGTGCGTATTTAATTTTCTAAGAAAGTGGGAAACTGTTTTCCATAATGACTATGAAACTGTGTATTCCTATCAACGATGTATAAATGGTTTAGGTGCTCACATCTTTTTCAGTTCTTCATAATGTCGTTTTTGTTTAAGCCATTGTGATAGGTGTGAAGTATTCTCTCCTGTGAATCAATTTACATTTCCCTAATGTGTGATGACATTAAACATCTTTTCTTGTGGTATTAGGTATATTTTATTTTCTCAGTTGTCTTTTCACATCTTTTACTTAGTTTTCCATTAAGAACTTTGCTTTTTATTGATTTTGTATGTTCTTTTATATATTTTGGATACAAGTTGAATTTTTTGGTCAAAAGTGTGTTTTTGGCTTCTAATTTTATTTATTAAGCATTATTTTTAGCAGGACAGATGTTTTTAACTTTGATATAATTTAATCATTTTTCTTTTGTAGATTATTTTTTTGGTATTGTATTTAAGAAATCTTTGCCTAACCAATGATTACAAAGATTTTTCTCCTAAATGGTTTATAGTTTTAGGTTTTATATTTAGGTCTTTGGTCCATTTTGAATCAATAGGAACTATTCTTAAAATTTAATTTTATTTTTAAGAATTATTTTTAGGCTCATGAAAAATAAACCAGGTCTTATTTAAAAAAAAAAAAAAGCTACTTTCAACATCACAAGATAATTTTCTTTTTGAAAATGTCTTTTTTTAAACTGCTGTTTTGCTAGATCCATAGTATCTCATTAGATCTCCAGAACTTATTCATCTTGTATAATTGAAACTTTGTACCTCTTGACCAATATCTCCCCATATCTCCCTCTCTCTAGCTCCTAGTAACCACCATTCTGTTTTCTGCTTCTATGAATTTGACTATTTTAGATTCCACATATAAGTGAGATCATATATTATTTGTCTTTCTCTGTCTGGTTTATTTCACTAAGCATAATGTCCTGCAGGTTCATCTATATTTTTGCAAATGGCCAAATTCCCTTCTATTTTTAAAGCTGAAAAATATTCCATTATATGTATATACCACATTTTCTTTATTCATTTATCCTTTGGTGGACATTTAGGTTATTTCCATGTCTTGACTATTGTAAATAATGCTGCAATGAACATAGGAGTGCAGGTATGTCTTTGAGATCCTTATTTCAGTTCCTTTGGATGAATACCCAGAGGTGAGATTGCACGTAATATAGTAGTTCTGGTAACAATACTGTACTTTATGCCTGAAATTTATTAAGAGGGTAGATCATATGTGTTCTCACAACGAGGTGGAGGGTAACTTTGTGAGACGATGGATATGTTAATTAGCTTGATTGTTGTGTTACTTCATTATGATATGTGTATCAAATCTTCAAGTTGTACACTTTATATACAATAAAAATAGTATCACAAATTTCTTAGAGCAAAAATAATCACAGGTGTAATGTATTTTTTTCTCTGTCAGGTGGCAACATATGACTTCAGCATTCAAGTTCAAATTAATTTCTTCAGGGCTTCAGAACTTTACACTCAATATTGTTTGTCAAATTCTCCTATGATTCCAAAGACAACACCACTTATTCGACCGTGTTATGTTCAAGCTACTGGTATGTACTGTGAAACATTCACTTGGTGTGCCCATATCAAATATTTACACTTAAGCAGGTAAAAGTTTAACAATTCAGAATATGATATTTACTTTTTTAAAAATAGAAATATTTGAAAGTAAAATTATGATATGATTTCTGTGTGTGTCACTTAAACTGTGCCTGTGAGAATGAATTTTGAGAAATAGCGTAACCAAACCAAGTTCACTCCTTTTTGAGTTACAGAGACTGCACCTGGTGAAGTTGTCACACAAAGATAACTTTATTGAGGAGATCACGGGCAGTGGCTTCCAAAGCCATGAATCCCTGACATCAGGTGAAGGGTTACCTTTTGTTTAGGGTTAGATGAATATTTATTTATTTCTACTTTTAATTTTTATTTAATTAATTAATTATATTGTTTTCTGAGAGAAAGAACATGAGCAGTGGGGGAGGGGCAGAGAGAGAAACTGGAGCAGGCTCCAAGCTCAGCATGGAGCCGGATGCAGGGCTGAGTCTCACTACCCTGAGTTCATGACCTGAGCCGAAATCAAGAGTCAGTTGCTTAACTGACTAAGCCACCCATGCAGCCCTAGGATGACTGTTTAGCTAGGGAAGCCTTCTTATCATATGTAGAGGTGGCCATAAGGTCACACATGAGCCTTAAGGAAACCTGTCTATACATACATTGTATGTTATGTAAATGAGGCTGAGGCTCCTCCTTGGTTGGAGGTTTTAGTACTCTAATGAAGCAAAGGTAATGGTAGGTCATTCCAGAGGTCACTCCATGGTCTGTCTGTGCAGGTATGAGTTGGAGGTTTAGCTCAAAAGGTCCGGGTAGTCTGGTGGGTGGGAGGTCTTGTCAGGGCAGTTGCCATCACCTACAGGGTGGTTTCCAGTTTCATTTGCCTGAGTTAAGAGGTAAGCTGAAAAGAAGAGCTTAAGGAAAAATGTAAGACAAAGGTTAGTGAGTTCAAGCAGGTGGGCAGTAAAGGTCAGGTCTTGGGGTTTAGCTGGTGACAGTAGCATGGACATAATCTCAGATCAGTGGCTCTTGCTTTAAAAAATTGGTTATAATTAAAAACAAAGGTCAGTTTAGTTATTTATTGTATGGGTAGTTTTAAAATGATTAAATCAAAATATAAATTCTTAAAACCAAATACATTAGATATATAATGAAATGATGAAAATTTTATTTAAGAAAAATTTCCCCCCCAAAGGAATGGGTTACTAAAGGACTAAGTTCATGTAAAGAAGGGTAAGTAAAAACAAAAAAACAAAAGAAGGGTAAGTATATTAAGTTTTTGAGTAATTATTTACTCATTTTCTCCAAATATTCAAATATAAAACCAATTCACTCTGTAAACCCTACCTTTTTTTTTTTTTTGTAAACCCTACTTTTGACGAGCTTTGGTTTTGCATTTTATTATATGTGTTTAAGTATTTTTCATGAAAAGTTAAGTCTAGTCTATGCTATATTATGCAATATTTTGTTTTTGTAATTCTGACATTAAGTTGTTATTAATAATAAAATAGTGCTCAGTTGATGATTGCACTTGGCACCTAGTAAGAGTAGCCTCATTAAAGTAGCATACACAATATAGAGATTTATTTCCCTCCTGTTTAAAATACAGAAAAATACAGAATTAAGAGTTCTACAGCTGGTAGGGAGGTTCCATGGAGTTTTCTCCCTTGTTTTAAGACATCATTTTAGGGAAAAAATCATTTTCTAATTTTGTTTTCTGAATTAGGTAAATTAGGTGAAAAATAAAATTTATCTACTTGACAAATAAAAATTAATGTATCATCGTTATGGAAAACTGGAAAATGTTAGAAACACAGAAATGTCATCTGGAGTGAGAATATGTAGAGCATACTATTATTAATATCTTGGTATCTTACTCTTCTTTTGTTCTATGCCTTTATTAGTTATGTTTTTTTTAACATAGTTGCGATCTTAACTGCTCTTAATAATATATTTCATATGTAGATTATCTGCTCATGAACTTTACCTTTATCATTGTGGTGATGTATTTGTCTGATAGATGTCAGTGATTTTCTTATTTATTTATATTAATTTTTTTCACCTTTACTGTGAGGTTTCCCAAAATCCATTGTTTGCTTTTAGTTTTATTTGTTGTTCAATACATACTTTTTTTTTTTTTTTAAGATTTATTTATTCATTTGAGAGAGCGAGAATGAGAGAGAGTACTTGAGAGAGGGGAGGGTCAGAGGGAGAAGCAGGCTCCTCGCAGAGCAGGGAGCCCGATGTGGGACTTGATCCCGGGACTCCAGGATCATGACCTGAGCCGAAGGCAGTTGCTTAACCAACTGAGCCACCCAGGCGCCCATTCAGTGAATACTTTTAATAATTTTATAGTGAAATTTAGCTATGATTTCCTCTGTGATTTCTAACATTGTTTTAAAGATTAGACCATCTTCCCCATCTTCAGATTTGGTATATATGTAATTCTGTTTTTTTCTTTTTCTATTTTTAATGGTTTAAAATTCATTCAACAATTTCTATACTGAGTTAATTTGTAAAAAAAAAAAAAAAAAAAAATATTGCTGTATTTCCAGAAAGGATTGGAATGTCAAAGGAAACTTGATTATATTATATAACTTACCAAACTCAAAGTTTACTAATGATTCAAATGATACAAGTATAGTCAGGCAGACATGTAACATTTCTTCCTATAGAAGTTGGCATCTATCAGACACAGCTTCCAAATTGTCCTTTTCTCCCTCCTTAAGATGCCTTTTGCTTTTGAATTAACATACGACTTTTGAATGTCATTTTTAGAAACCAGTTCCCAAGGGAAGCTGTTTTTTGTTTGGAGCTTCCCATTTTTGTACTCTTAATAGTTATACAAGTAGAAAGTATCTACATAAGGAATTCTCATTCCCCTACCAGCAGTGCCTCATAAATCCATAATTCCAGATACTTTTGATTGGCCATTTGGACAGGTCATGTATGTCAAGGGTTTTTTTTTTTTTTTTTTTGAATAGTCCACTGGTCAATTCCATTTTTATGTTTCAAGGACGCTTGGTCAAGTTTGTTATTCCCTGAGCTACCCCTCAATAGAAGGATAATGCCTCAGTAGGAGGCTCACAAGCTTTCTGTTATCGCTTTTCTCCCAAATTACATGTATATATTTTAAAAGTAAAATAGTGCTAATCCAGAATTGCAATCCATTATCTCCTTCTCAGGGCTTATCCTGCATCCCAGAGGCAGTGACTTTTTTCTTTAATTATCTAATGAAAACACTTATTTAATGACAAGCATCTGTACTCACTTGAAACATTAACTCCAGTTATCCATTTTGTAATGTAATTATAGTTTAAATTTCAATTAAATTTTTTATCAGAGATTTAATTGTTATGATGATACATTGTTCATTGTTAAGCCAAGTAGTGTAACTGCATAGTTATTTTATTTACTTTCCTTCAAATTTTTGTTTATCCTCGGAGTTATTAATTGCTCAATTGTCCGTAGATATTTGAATAAATCCTCCCATGCCACAAAGCTCTCCTTTATATTACGCTTGTCTGGACAGTGTTCCACATAGTCTAGACTGTCACATAATATGTCATATCTACTTATTCTCTTAAAGCAACTTTCCTGGAGCACAACAACCTCCTTCTACAACATGAACTAGATACTTTCCCTGTGGCAGAACTTTTGTCTAAGATTTCCTTTCACTATAATTGTAGGGATTTTTTTTTAACTCTTTTCTGTTTTGAATCTCCTGTTTTTTCAATCCCTTACCTTCCTATTTCTTGGTTTACTTCACCATTTAGGTAGATTACATTTTCCAGGAGCTTCTAAAGAAAGGGCAAAACGGAGCTAATTTTTGAGAATTTCCATGTCTGAAAATATCTTTGTTTTTCCTTTCACACTTGAATGATAATTTGGTTTAGTATAAAATTCTCTTATTTCACACTGATAACTTTAGTGTGAATCTTTTGTCTTATGTTCTTTTCAATCTGGAAATTCATATCCTCTGGTTCTATGAAGTTTTAATAAACTATTTCCTTGAAAAGTTCTTCCCACCATTTTCTTTTTTTTTTTTAAAGATTTTATTTATTTATTTGAGAGAGAGAGAATGAGAGAGAGCACATGAAAGGGGGGAGGGTCAGAGGGAGAAGCAGACTTCCTGCCGAGCAGGGAGCCCGATGCGGGACTCGATCCAGGGACTCCAGGATCATGACCTGAGCCGAAGGCAGTCGCTTAACCAACTGAGCCACCCAGGCGCCCAGTTCTTCCCACCATTTTCTATATTTCTTTCTTTAAGGCTTTATTGGTTGTGTTTTGTATGTCTTGGGTTATGTTATATATTTTAAATGTCTTATATTTTCTTTCCTATTGTCCTTTTCCTTTTTTGTTGTACTTCTCAGGATATTTTTCGATTTTATTATGTCTTAAGAAATTTTGGCAATTTTAATCTAATGAGAGTTAACTTTTTTGTGATTATTTCTTTACCTACAGAATTCTGAAAAATAACATTTTTTATCTCCACTTGTATTATGATAATTTGTTTGAAATTTTCTTCTGTTGCTACATTGTCTCAATTTTTGCTGAATTATTTCTCCTTCATTTCTCCTTCATGCTGAGGAGTTCCTTAAATGTCTGTTGATTTTTGCCTATTCTCTCATGATTATTAGTGAGTCTCACAATGCTGGCTTCATTATCAAGTATTATATCATTTCCTGACAATCTGGATCCCAGTGAATGTTTAAAGAGGTCAAAATGTTAGTGTGTAAGACTTTAATCTTGAGTACTTCAGGTTTTCTGGAAAATATTTCTTCAAATTATAAGGATAATAGGTTAATACATCAACAACAGTATGCCTGCAAATTTGATAAGCTAGATGAAATGGAGCAATTCCTTGAAAGACACAATCTACCAAAACTCACACATGAAGAAATAGACAGTCTGGATAGACCTCAATCTATTAAAGAAATTGAATTAGTAATTAGTAACCTTCAAAAACAGAAAGCACCAGGCCCAGATGGATTCA